CTTTTAATTTATCGTCCTCGTTTCGATTGCCTTCTATGTACAAAACATTTAAATCCAAGATAATAAAATCATCCTTCGAATCAATGTAGACGACACGTTGCAATAAAAGTATTCTTTGCTCGCGGCTTGTCTGTTCTCGTTTGAATTTCCATCTAGAAGCACATAGAATTCATTAATTTAACTCGACCCCGCGAATATTGTCTCACAGAGAAATAAATGAAACGCTAGCTACCGATTTTAATTTAATCAAGAAGTAGTTTGTTTATTAATCCCCGTTCGTTTAAATAATCGGTGGAAAATAAAAAAAAAAGTCAACGACGACCGGGAAAATTTACGAGCTCTGCCTTTCCCATTTCTTTGTTCCTTCTCGTTCTCTCCTCTTCGACTCGCCTCTCTACTTTACTCAGTGCAAATGGAACTCCGAATTGTTGCAACGGTGCCAACTGAATACACAAAACGTCTCGCAAAGTGAGCGTCCGAGGTAATTACTCGGTTCCTCGCAGTTAATTACGATTTTTGCGTTTCACTCGAAAGTCGTTCGCTAAAGAACACCGACCACTGTGCTCATGGCCACTGAAATAAACTTTCAGCTATCCACTACAATCCTGTGATTGAAATTACGTGAAAACTTTTATTTTATTGCAAACTAATCTGCCAATCCTTTGGATGAACGATTGAGTCCAGGGAAGCGCGAAGCGGGATTTGATTTAATTTTCGTCGGTGGTCGTTGTTGTTGATCGCGTCACAGGTTGAACCCTTTTTTGCAAATCATGCCCACCCTCTTGCAAGTCAAATTCACCCTTTCAAAAAATTAATTTCTTCTTTTGCAGATCGAAATTTGATTTCTCAAGCCATCGTAGTAAAACGAAAATCTAATGTTACTCCATGATCAAAATTTTATCGCGTGTATTTTTTTAATAATATTTGGAGAAAAATGTGTAAGATAAAGTGACATAAAAAATATTTGTTTAACTTTACTAAAAATATATAGGCACATGTAGCTTTATATGTTTGTATAATAATTATAGCAATCCGTAGGCGCGATAACATCCACCAAAATATTTCTCACGTAGAGTTTAATTTTTTTAATGATCGTTTATCATTGTAGAGCTGGTAGAATAAAGTGTGTTATTTCACTTTTTCAGTCACTCGCAAGGTAAATTTAATTTGCAAAATTTGTTAATTTAAAGTGCGAAAACTCATGTTATAATATAATGGAGACACTCTGAAAAAGAGTCTATGAAAATAGAAAGAACACGGGTTTCACGCGCGAGCGAGGGAAGTTTTGTGCCCTTGCATCGACGACCCTTATAAATTTCAACTCTTTAACCTTTTTTGTCAGGGGCGACGAGTCAACCCGTCGTACAACTTTGAAAGATTTCCTAATTTTCCAACGAGTCGTCTGCGCCTCTCAACGTAACTTGAAATTATTTCACACAACCGGCACGCGCGCACACGCGCAAAGTTGTTCCTCGCAACAACAGATAGTTCGAGATTGAAACTTCGAACTATCCGCATCCACGAGCGGAACCGTTGTTACGCGCAATTTCTTAGATGCGGGTATAATATCGGGACTCTGAGAACTTCAGCTCAGGTGGCCCGAGTAACCTTACCGAAACTCGACCAAGGAAACTGTCAAAACAATTGCTCGGCGCCATAGACACGTTTGAAAGGCAACAACGTCAACTTGCACGCTCGTGTTCTCGTCGTCGTCGTCGTCGTCGAGTCGAACGACTCCTGCAAGATGCATGATACGTTCCCGATGCTATGAACATTAGAGCGTTAATCCCGACGATGGTGGATCGTGAAACAAGCTGGTGTGTTCTCGCGTCGATGACGATTTCCGCGCGAAGCCGACGTATCCAATTTCCGGCGCCGAGAGAGAGAGAGAAAGGAATCTGCATCCCGATATTTCCGACGCCGAGAAAGTGTCCCGACGTCGAGCGTCAGGAAACGATCGTCTTGATCGGGGAGGAACAACGTCCCCTTTTTTTCGAGGGTCACCGGGATCGGGAAAAATCGAAAAAACCGGAGAATTTCATGCCACCGGTGATATCAAAATTTCGTTTCGTAGAAATGAGAAAAAAAAAAAA